ATGGATTGGCCAAGTGGCAGCATCGATGGACTCAGGCGTGGCAGCAGTAGTGAGGTTGGCCCAGGATCAGGCAGTGTTTCGTTCTGCTATACATAAGGTCGCTATAGGTCGGCTTGATGGCACCTAACAACAACAACATGATTATATATGTGCGAACTTCAAATAGTTAGTGGCAAAATAGAATTAATAGAATTTTTATATATATTGTGTGGAGTCCTGGTGTAGTACTGTGTTATATAAGCACTGTACTACTAGCAGCAAGGTTAGCTGTATAAACCCACTAACCACATCTTGGAATTTCTATACAGGGTCTATGTGTGTCAGTACTGATTCGATTACACTTAACAGCAATAATATATGTTGTAAACTTCATGAAATAGAAGATATTTCATACTTTCCTACTTCTGAAAGCGTGAAAGGCATAATTTTAAATGCTTTTAAGGACTCATTATTATGATTAGAATTACTAGGTATTGAATTTGCTTTCAAAAATACATATTTGAATGTATTTAGAATGTAATACAATTCTTTGTCCAAACACAAGAAGACTTGGTTCTTGGGTTTGCTATTTATGCTTATACTAGATTCTCTGTTTTCTGTTGTCACTTTCTGAAGCTTCTTTCCACATTAACAAGTGTCAGTTTTGCCTGAGTGTACATTTACTGAGTGGATACATGAGATCCTTCAGTGTACATTGTGTGGATATTTGAACTTGTATATTTATTGTTTTCACAATGAAATTAGAATGGCTGGAGCTAGGTAATTATTTGGTGAATAAGTTAAGTATGTCTGCCTGCATATTCTTGTTATTGTTGTTAGATGTGGTTGAATCGGTTCTGACTCTTGGTGACCTAGTGTATAACAGAACAAAATGCTTTCCAGTCTGTGTCATCTTCATGATCATTGATATATTTGATCCAGTCAATATGCTAGCCCTTCATTGCTTCAGATTTATTATTTCTGATGTACTTCCTGCAAGAGTTTAGGAAAATTGAAGGTGGCCAATATAACAATCAAATGGATACATAGGAGAAAAATTGATGTGAGAGGAGTTGCTGAGAGACTAGATAAATAAGAATAAAAGAAAGAATGCTAGAGAAAAGAGGGAAAGTGCGTAGAAATGAGAAGAAAAGGATGTAGACGGAAGAGAGGAATAATCTGGAGAAGAGGTTTAAGCATTAAAGTAATATTTCTGTGTATGTACGTTTTTGTTGTTGGTGTTGTTAAGTGCTGTTGAGTCAATTCTGACTCCTAGCAACTCCGTATAGGTTTTCCAATGAGCTGCTGGTGAAAAACTGACCTTGCAATTCAACCCAACCTTGTCCTGTGCTAATCCTACAGCACCATCCCATATGCCACGGAGAAGTAGCTAAATAGCTGGAGAGAATAAGAGAATATGAGAGGTCAGGAAAGAGTAGACAAGGTGAGAAGATGAAGACTTAGTGAAATAAATAGGCTTATGCTGTGGTGCTGTAGGATCAGCATTAGACATCAAACTACAATGTCAGCAGTTGAAATCCACCTGCTCTCCTCAGAAAACCTTACAAA